GACTGTGCTTTTCATGTGTAACGAAATTGCATCGTTACCAACTTTTGGGTGGGCAAGTGAGGCGTTTTCGCTCAAAGCAATCGGGGAGGAAACAGGAAAAAGGTCAAGAAATAAATTGAAATCGCGTTTTAGAAAACCACTAAATCAGATATCATAATTATATTAAATCGAACTTGTACAAACCTTAAGCACTAATGAATCGGAATTCTTACATAATACATACACACAAAAAGAAACGGAAAGACAAATAAACTTAAATTACTCGCGCTTACAAAATATCAACAAATAACGAAAGGTATCGCCTGGCAGATAACCGCCTTGGCGACAAACCAACTTAGCCTGATTACGCTAGGCGAACCCGCCAGGCAAAAGATCGCCTTGACGGATTGCTATCTTAATCTAATACGCTGGCCGTGCAATTACCAGTAGATAGCTGGCACGCTAACGCCTTTCCACCTACCTGATCTCTGCACAAATGCCGTACCGCCAAAAAGAGACAGAGAGAGAGAGAGAGAGAGAGAGGAAGAATTAAAGTAGCCATGACCGTGTTGACTGTGCCGAACGTTGAGAAGGCCTGGCTGCGCCCTGCAGATGGTAATGTTGACCGTTGCTGGGATCAATGCCTAGCCGGCCTCTTCCCCGGGAGCGTTCCTAGCAGAGGTGGTGGTAAAGATCACTGACAATTTTCTTGGTGTCCTTCCTCCAACCTCTGTCCCAACGTAGCTTCTGAAAGTTCGCTCGTTCCTCATTAGGGTTGGCATACTATACTGTCCGCACGCTTCACCGCAATCGACAGCTTCCTTCGACTTTTACTTTTCCCCAGTTGATCTACTTATTAGGCTGCGCACGACTAAGGCGCTAATTGGTTACGCGCTGCGCGCCTGCCTAAACCTGCGTGTGCCACACACGCCCCTCTCTCTTTCTAACATCTAGCGTCGTCCACTTCAGCGGCGTCGGGCCGGCTCGGCCTCGCTTGGCGATCTCCGTCGGCTGAAAACAGAGGCCACGCATTATAGGCGCATTATAAATCTGCCCAACGCTGGCCACCATGGCTCGCCGAGAGAGGGGAAAGAGGAAAAATACTGAGCGAGAGAAAGCGCAACGCTTACGCTACGCAATACCTTAACGCGCGGATCTTTCAAAGAAAAAGTTCAAGGAAACCGAGTCCGTCAAGTTGATAAACCTCATAACTATGAGGCGGCTCAATACGCGCGGTACAATTGACGAATTGCGCGATCGCGAGTTGCAGTTTATGGTGGCATGTGAGAGGCCTGACCTTGACCCTCAGTTGCGACCTGATGATTTCGTCTCGGGAACGATCCGCGGTTTCCCATTCATGAGCTTCGGTAAAGAAATTGAAATCAGCGCTCAGGGAGAAACGGTGCTCGCGACGCCGTCACTAGGGCGCAGGCAGTGGAAGACTAGGTCGCAGGCGTTTGTTCTAGACCATTATTTTTATTCCTTCATCGCAAAGCTCATCATTATTATTTAGGAAAAGGTTATATTATCGGTTCGCATCTGGATTGAATCTTTAACTTTAACTAGCTTTATATATCCTCTGGAAGATCTTGGTTTGTTAAAGTCACTAAAACTTGGTTCATCGTCAGAATTGTCGGAATTATTAGAATTGTCTGGCACTTCAACACTTGAGAAGGATAATTGAATCTTCCTGGGTTTACATCGAGATCTTTCGGAAGGACTTTCGGGTAGCTGAGGTGATTTGATTAACTCTGATCCTTTCGTCAAGGGTTTTGGTTCTACGTTTTTGGATATTTGGGGTGGATTCTTACTGGGCCTTCCTCGATATCGTTGTACCGAGTTTAACTTTTCGGTATTAGTTGGAAGATGAGATACAATAGGTAGTGAATTCTCTAACTCTTGTTTTTGTCTGCGTGTCATTATGTTTATTTCTGCAACTACACGACATGTCCGAGGTTACTCTCTCGAATTGCACAGAAAGGGATTATCATATTTCCAAGTCGCATTGTTTTTATATTAAAATTTAGCGCTACTTTACTCTTAATAAAATAATCGATTCCTAGTAACCTTTCTGTATTTATAGAAAAGTCGTTAGATACTATGTAGAATTTATTTATTATCGATTTTTCTTTGGTGTAAAATATTTGATATTTAAACTTTGATCGCTCATGAGGTGTTCTAAATAACTGACTTTTCGTATAAGAAATTTGCACTTGTTAATTTGGAACTTCAGTTTCTCTTTCCTTAATCGCTCAACTAGTAACTTAAATTTTTCATTATGTTCGTCGATACTATTAGCATAAATGACTATATCGTCTAGGTAAACAAATAAATCTAGATTTTAGAGTCCGCAAAGTAAGGTATCCATTAGCCGCTGAAAGGTTGCGGGTGCATTCTTTGATCCAAATGAGATACGCACAAATTCGTAATGACCGAAAGTGATACTAAACGCTGTTTCATGTACATCTTTTGGATGCATCTTAATTTGATAAAATCCCATGGCGAGATCGATAGATAGAACCTAGTTCTTCCTACTTGATCAAAAATTTGTGTGATGTTTCATACGGGGTAAGAGACGGCTAGGATTTTTTCATTGAGCCCTCTCATATCGAGCACCATCCTTCCTTTCCGATCTGTAACTTTTAGGACTATTCACACAGATATGTTATATGGTGAACTAGATTCCTGAATAATGTTAAAATCGTATTGTCTGCTGTTCACGGGAATATCATCGATAGTATATATTTTATGCATTACTACTTCTGTTCCTGGTAGCTAATCTCTGTCTTTATTACTACTACACTTTCAATCTTACAAGAGAGTTAAACATTTCTCGTAGCTCGTTACGATTTCACTCGTGGTCGAGTGTGTGTCCAGTCCTCTCCGCAACCGAAAAAAAGGCCAGCAACGTCCTACCCACTGGCGTGATAATTAATGTCACCGGCCGATAGGCTAATTGCTTATTCAGCCTCGCGAGTTATTCCTTATCCTATTTAGTAATTCTCGCAAGAGCCTGAGAGAATAGGACTGTCTGTTTCCCACATTAGTCGGAGACTATACGTATCTCTCACTCTCCGCGGGAAACGGCATCGACTTACATGCACATTTCGTCCGGAGGTTGACCCGTACTGAAACTACCTTGAGCGAGGAACCGCACAGTTAGCCGTTTGCGTGAGAAAGACTGAAAGTCGCACACAAGCTGCTGTTTCAGCAATATTTCAGCGTCCAATGTCTGGCTTGCTTGGGATGTAACAATCCGCGATTTTTAATTTCTAAAATCTGAAAATGGATTCGAATTCATCAAAGAAAACTACTCTGTAGAATATATTTGTAAGTAAACAGTGATAAAAATATAGTTTTTATAAAAAAACATTAAAGATCGAGTCTTAGAGGCGACGGTCATATGAGATCCGCCATTTTAAAAATCTAAAATCGCCAGTTATTTCAAAAGTTCTGTCCAAAACGAACATTTTAAGCCATAATACGATTTATATAGCTATACTCAAATTTGTCGAAGCTCGATGGTCGAGGTGACGCGAATGCGTCATACGAGGTGTGATCAAAAAGTAAGGCGAATTTTTATTTTTCTCAAAAAATATTTATTTATTCATCAATTTTTATTTTATCTCCTTCAAAGTAATCCCCCTCGGATATAATGCACTTGTGCCAACGCTTTTTCCAATCCTCAAAGCATTTCAAAAAATCATTTTTTGTGATCTTGTTTAGTTCATCCTTCGATGCCGTCTTTATCTCCTCAATCGTGGCAAAACGCCGTCCTTTCATGGGCCTCTTCAGTTTTTGGAACAAAAAGAAGTCACAGGGGGCCAGATCTGGGGAATACGGTGCCTGTGGCATCGTTACTGTGTTGGTTTTAGCCAAAAATTCGCGCACAAGCAACGATGTGTGAGCAGGGGCGTTATCATGGTGTAAAAGCCAATTTTTATTTTTCCACAAATTCGGACGTTTCTGGCGGATTGCGCATAACTTGCAGGTAATATTCCTTATTTACTGTTCTACCCTGTGGCAAGAACTCATGATGCACCACGCCCCTGCAGTCAAAGAAAACTGTAAGCAAAACCTTTACATTTGATCGAACTTGGCGTGCTTTTTTTGGTCTTGGTGATCCAGAATGCCTCCACTGGGACGATTGAGTCTTAGTCTCGACGTCATAACCGTATACCCATGTTTCGTCACCTGTTATAATCCTGTTGAGTAAATCTGGATCATCGTTGACGTCATTCAGTAGCTCTTGGGCGATGCTCATGCGACGTTTCTTTTGGTCGAAATTGAGCAATTTTGGAACAAACTTCGCTGACACACGTCTCATGTCTAAAACACTCGTCAAAATTGATTGGCACGAACCAAATGAGATGCCAATATCATCAGCAATTTCTCTTATGGTAATTGGACGATTTCCCTACACTATTTTCTTCACTTCTTCAACATTCTCATCAGTTGTTGATGTGCTGGGGCGTCCAGAACGAGTTTCGTCGTCGGTGTCTTCTCGGCCTTCTTGGAAGAGTTTATACCACTTGTAAACATTTTTTTGGCTTAAAGTAGACTCACCGTATGCCACTTTCAGCATTTCAAGTGTTTTGGAACATTTGATTCCATTTTTCACACAAAATTTAATGCAAACTCTTTGATCCATGTTTTTAGACAGCAGCAAATCGTGGAGCACGCAAAACACTTCTAACCTTGATGCCTATCACAAACAAACCAAACATACTACAAAGCTGAAATTTGGAACGTATATTCTAGACGAGTGTACCGACATAACCAAATAAAAAAGTCGAAGATCGAACGGACGTAGCCCGCTTAATTTCAAAATTCACCTTAATTTTTGATCACACCCCGTATAGGAAATGGTAAAACGCAGTAATTACATTATTTAAGTAATTAGTGTAATTACATTAAGACAATTATTTAAATTTATTGTATATTCACCAACTTACACATTTATTTGATATATTTAAAAAAATCTTAAGCTATAAGCTAGTTTAAATTCAAAATTTACTTACAATTTATTGATACTGTTATTCTTTTGCTAACAGCAGGATGGACATCATTACTAGCGATACATAAATAGGTTCCCATTTGTTTTCGATCTACTCGGTGTAGATTTAAGGTAGATCCATTATATACATTCAACGGAAAGAAATGGATACTATCTGAAATAAGAAAATGAAGTAATTTAATTAAATTTTCAAGGTATTTTTTGAAAAGAACTTCATCGAATATTACATATTCGAAAGGTAAATGAAACATTTCAGTACTGGCCATTAATATAGATAGGTAATTCATTTTTGGTTCCGATTTTCAACGCGCATATATTCTTAAATATTTATCAAAAAATTATTTGGAAAAAACCATTGGAAAGTACTCATACGAATCTTTTATTTTAAGTAACTAAAAATTTTTTTCAGTTATTTTCAATGTTTTTATTGCAGTTTTTTTAATAATGAAGTTAGGAAAAGTCGTAAAGCGAATTTGGAAAGGGCTTAAATAATGCCATATACACAAATTTTTATCTCACTTTGCTATCAAATTTTTAGTGTGATATGTCAACCGCTTAGTTTTTTTATTATAAATATGACGAGAAAGAAATTCCTTTTTATTTCATTATTGTTGAATATATTGTTGAATATACGTGTGCATGTGCACGCTCCACTAGCGCTACCATTTCCGTCATCGTCCGTGCGCCACAGCGCGTACACACTTATCAACGAGAAGCAGCAACAGCGACAACTATTGCGATTTTGATCTGCCACATTAAGTGCCTATTTGTAGAGTTAAAATAAAATAAATTAAATTAGACAGTTTGAGAATAATTTAGAGAAAAACAACTGTCCTATGTCGTTCATTTTATCACCAGACTAAAAGATTATCGGCACCAGAACACGCTTCCTCGGCGCGAAGAAAAATAAAAGGTATCTATTGAAAAAGTGAAATTTAGAATGTCCGTGAAAAAGAGGTGCACCGCATTTCAGGTTCAATGATTGTTCGTGCAAGAGAGTGAAACTTAGACTGACACGAAAAAGAAAAAAAATTAGAGAAACAGATTAATTTTTCGAGACAACGGAAAACATTAATCTCGAAGTAACGAAACAGAAAAGTGCGTATTTTCCGTCGTAAAATTAAAATCAAGGCATGTGAGTGCGAGTGAGATAGAGTAGAAAAGAAATCGCGGTATTATAGAAGAGCATAAACGTTAGTGATTTAGAAATGTCCTAGAGTAGTGTAAAGCCATTTTTAGAGTTGGTGTCATGAGTGACAGTTGAACAAAGGGTTCGACGCTGTAGCACTCGGCTAGAAGCACGTGCCGACAAGATTTCAAGCGATAAAGAACACGTGATGCGCATGCGCTAATTGTAGTATTAAAGATAGAGAAAGAGCATGAGACAATGAGCGAGTGCTACTAAGGTGCGTTCACAACGAGAGTTACGACACGCTACACAAAGTTCGTGCGTGAGTAAACTTACAAAAATCGAGACTAGTTCACAACGGAAGATGTGACAAGCTACATAAATCGTATACAGTTAGAGTGATTGATCCCAATCAAAGCGGAACTCGGTATGAGATCGCATGTGCATTCGAGTATATGCTCACTGCAATGAATATACGTATATATTCATGACTAGAGAATAATTTAAATATAATATATTATATAATAACAATAACTTTTATCAACATATATAATGATTTAATATAAATATAATACATGAATAGAACTATATCTCATATTATATTAAAAATTATGTATATATATGTTTGAACAATTTTTGAAAATATTTAAGCACTTTTGGTGGTTGATTGTAAGCCCTTTAAAGATAATTAGAGAATAAAATAATCAGGTTAATAATTTAGAGCATGTATAAAACCTTAATGAAAAATAAAAAATAAAAAAAAATTAGTACCATTTGCTATAAAGTCGAAGTTGTTGCGCTATATATGGTCAACGCCTCATATGACTTTGGCATTCAGTTTGATTATTAACTTGTTATTGCAAACATGAGCTATCGGCCCAGCCGAGTAATTGGTGCTACGTATAGTCATCGGAACAGAATGGAACACAGAAGCAGTACCGATTGATCCAAAGATTGTTTGTCGTTTTTGGACTGCATTATACGGACGTATCTAACTAATATTAGAAAGAAACCTCATTACAACTTATTAAAATAGATGAAACATTCGAAAAACGTTATTATTTTAGATAATTAACATTAATAATATTGTAAAGGAGATGGAAGTGGTCATGGACACTGACCAGAACATTGGTCAGGGCGCGAGGGCCACCGATGAGACAGGAATAAATACAAAAGACAAATATTATTTCGAGTTTAGAAAAACTATACAACAGTATTAGAGAAATAGAATACGAATCGGTAATTATATTGATGATCTATTAGAGAAAACCAAATTTTGACTTAGAGAACTGTTATATAGTACCAACAACATCTAGTGCTTCCATCTTCACCAACTTATTCTCATCGGTTCTCACGCCCAAGACAAGTGGCTCCTCTGTGTAGTCTGTTCATGGTGTGCTGGATTTAAACTCCACTACTGAGTCCACTACAGCCGGTAGCAGTACATCTGTGGGCAGACAAGCTCACACGTTCGACTTCTATTCCTCGAAGTCCCTCAACAACATCCAAGAGACTCGAGAGGAGGCGCGCAAAGAGGCTGAGGCAGCTAGAATGGACAAAATCCTCGCTATCATAGAGAAGGTGGCGAAGATTAAAGCCCGCTCCTCACCTCAAATAAGCGAAACGCTCAAGGAGGCCAGGATTATAATGGAAGGAACCTTAGAGGGAAAAAGACTAGAGATTCAACGTTTAATGATAATCTCTTCCCGGTAGAAAATTTTACAAAGAACTCCTTTTCTATTAGTAACATATTAGAAGAAAATACTAGAAACAGAAAAAATGAAAGATCTAGAGAAAACCCGGTTATTGAACCTAGAGTAACTGTAGAGACAATAAATCCCCAGGAGAGTCGAAACAATATTACTCGGTAGTAATATTGTCTCTACAGTTAATACTACTGTTAATATCGGTATATTAACAGTTATTGTATGCGTTGTTCATATTTTTCCATTTTGAGGGAGGTACAGCCTCACGGCTGACCAGAAGGTGCACTATGTGCATCATCTATGTTTTTGCTAAGCGGATCGTAATCGAACTCCCTGAGAGCGTCCCAATTGCAACTGCCTACCGATATTAACCATCAATTACATCAAACTTTTGGAGCATTAGCCAAAACAATCAAATTCAACTTCCTTAAAAAGGGATTACATATTAACGCCAAAAACTAATATCGATGTGTGGTTGGATAGACTGAACTCAGAACTGGCTGCTAAAGAATTATTAAATGTATTAGATACTGATACTAGAGCTATTTTTACAATAGATGAAACAGACAAAAGAAATAGACTAGTTAGAGATATCATTATTATTTATATAGATGAAAATTACCATAATTCTAAATATCAATGACCCTAGAGAAATAATAACAAAGATTAGAGAGCACAGAGGAATAGAGGTTAGTACTGATGATGTAAAAGTGAGGGAAGAGCTATATAGCATAAAGTTAAAAGAAAGGAAAAAGTTTCAGAATTTTTAAATAGGTTCGATTCTATTATCAGAGAGTATGAAATATACGAGGCCAGCCCGGAAAGTATCGGACCTACCTTTATATTTTCGTGCTAGCGTTATACTTTATAATCTGGTGGGTGGCATTCTTCGAAGTTATCCCCACTTAATTGAATAACACGGTTCCATCGATGTTTCCACTTTTCAAAACAGTCCTGGAGCTCACTTTTAGGGATAGCCTTAAGTACACTCGTCGTATTGTTTTCAACCATTGTTTTGTCATTGAATCGGTCCTTTGAGTTGTTTTTTTAGTTTTGGAAACAGCCAAAAGTCCCAAGGGGCTACGTCGGCACTGTATGGAGGTTGTCGAAGCAATGTGATATTGTGTTTGCTCAAAAACTGCTGCACAAGATTGGATGAATGCGCTGGCGCATTATCGTGATGGACAAGCCAGTCACCACTTTTCCAAAAGTGCGGCCGTTTTCTTCTTACTGTATCACGCACACGTTTTAAAATTTGAACGTAGAATTCTTTATTAATTGTCTGACCTGTTGGTGCATATTCGTGATGTACAACACCTTCACAATCGAAAAAAACAATCAACATTGACTTAACATTGCTCCGACTTTGACGTGCTTTTTTGGTCTTAGCAATTCAGAATGCTTCCACGGTGAAGATTGTTGTTTTGTTTCAGGATCATAACCATAAACCCATGATTCATCACCTGTAATAACTTTTCTAAGCACATTATCATCATTATTGACCATTTCCAGATTGTCCAGAGCGATTTCTAAGCGAATGTTCTTCTACTCTGCTGTGAGCAATTTTGTGATGAATTTCGCACATACGCGTTTCATTCCTAAATTTTCGATTAAAATTTCTGAAATGATAGTTTTTGGTATCTCAAGGTCTTCTTCTAGTTCTCGCACAGTCATACGACGATTTTGATCGATTGCAAGTCGCACCCGCTCAATATTATCTGCGGTTTTTGTCGTCGAAGGTCGGCCGGAACGAGAATCACTATCGACAGAAGTGCGACCATCCTTGAACCGTTTATACCACTCTTTTATTCGTGTTTTGCTTATACACTCGCTTCCGAAGGCTTTTTGCATCATTTCAATAGTTTCCGACCTCGTTTTTTCGAGTTGAAAGCAAAATTTGATGCAAATTCGTTGATCTTGTTTTTCAGTCATTTTTGACAATATCAAAATCCAACGAACGCGAAAAAGACACTGTAAACAAAGAGACGGTGCGCATGAACTATACGTCCGGCAGATGTCAGTAATTAACCAATAGATTCGTGACGCTTTACTGTTGACGTTTCTGTCCGGTAGAGGTCGCTCGAACACTATGGCGTGATGATATAAACGTAGGCCCGATACTTTCCGGACAGCCCTCGTATGACACAGCTATTCCTCTCGCAGATGCTGAGAAAACCTCTGCCTTTATGAAGGCTGTAATAGATGCATACCCCCGAATTAAAGATATGGAAATAATAATAAAACAAACTAAAAATAGACGAATGATATTAGAGGAATTCAAAACTTTTTCTTCGACATTTAGAGGCTGACCAGAGGAGA